CAACTTTTTCGGGAGTCGTCTGACCTCCCCGGGAAAAAAAAAAGACTGTTTTTATCGACGCCGGTTTCTTTTAAACGCTCAGAGGATAATTTTGCGCTCCATGTGAAAGCCCCGGAGACTCGGCCCGCCTCAGGCCATATGTAATTTATTTGGGGAGAACAATTTGCCTGAACTGTTTCTCACTTCCTGATAAATAATCCCTCATGCATTATTGAAAAAAAAAACAGATTTCTTCCTCCTTGTTGCAGGAGTCCAGTGTTTTATCCCCACCTCCTCCTCCTCACCGTCACCCCGCCCACCAGGAAGTGTCGTTTGTTGCAAACTAAGAAGTTGGTGTGACAGGCCCCCGTTGGTCTAATCAAATAACAGGATCCAGATTCATGCACTAATTAATCACTAGCTCTGGGGGGACGGGCTCATCCAGCGATTCTCGGTAGGAAAAAAAACGAGACATTTGATCTGTCGAATCAGCTCCCTCGCCATCTCCTCCTCGCTCTTCCATCTATCTTGCATTAATTCAATGAAGTCAGAGTTCATCTGAATGCATCCTTCCCTCACACACAAAGTTTTCAGTTTAAATCGCCCTGCTATGGAAATCGAGCCTCTTTTGTAGCAGCAAAAAATATCCTCGCATATTAATAGCCCAACAATTTTGTGCTTCTTCTGTACTGGAAACATATTTGGCACATTTCCAGGCCGGCCCTAATTGCGGCGAGCATGTTTATTGGGAAATTATCTGCTGTGCATGAGCCTGAAAATGATCTGAAAGCGGGTTTTCTTTTGTTCGGAGCTGCAGCATCCGAGCGGCGGCGACGGCGGCTCATTTGGCCGTTGTAAATGTGCGTGGCGGTCGACCTTAGCTGCTTCTCCCTGACATGTTTTCTTGAGAGATGAGATGAAAAACAAGCCCCCCGAAGGCCCTCCTTTTGTTTTGTTACCAGTGATGACTTTTAAATGTCATTGTCGCTCCTCCTCGGTCCCGCACTTCAACGCCGGCCGGTTCAGGGAAGGTAATGAGTCCGCGACCCCAAGAATAAGCTTTTTAACGGCGGAATTTATCCCTCCTTACCCGCCATCACGATTAACAAACTCACAATCGGAACTCCAAAAGCTCCGGCCCCCTCGGAGTGATTTTTTAAAAGCTCTGCGGGGGAGCGACATTTTCCAAATGACCATTTTTCTCTCTGACCTTTCTGCTGCCCTTTTTGGAGAGTAATTGCATTTTGTGAAATATTCATTTGCGAGTTATGTCATTTGCGAGCGTCGTGATTAAAAAAACACAAGCGGAGTGGTGGTGGTGTGGAAGTAATGGAAGTATCCGGCGTGACCATTACAGTCTGCTTCCCCTCCTCCCTCCGACTCTCCAAACTATTATTTTATTATTTTTTTCATATTCAGCAGTGCACTTGTCAAAGGAATTATCCAGGGAGAATCTGCAGTGGAGAAAAGAGATACTGCACTGCATATAAATACACCTTTAAAGTATTAGCTGCAGAGAGGAGGAGGAAGAGGAGGAAGAGGGAAGATGAAGTGAACAGAACATGGGAAGTTAGATAAGAGGATGGACTTCCAATAAGACTATTTCGATTTTCGGTAGATCTGACAATGATGTGTGCAGGTAGATACGGGAGCAGGACGCCGGCACCTCAGGAATATGAGCCCTATCAATCACCGCCTCCGGGCACAAATGTAATTACACCACAGTTGTTGACTGGCCGGGTAATCCGAGACACGGCTGGCACGCTTTGGCTCGCTTACATTAGGGGGATTGCCGGTGCCCGTTGCTGCTCGCTGCTCTCCGGGGCATCTTTTTTTTCTTTACAATATTAGAATATTTGCGAGATCTCATTCATCAGATGTTATGTAATGGATTTAATCGAGGCCCCTTTTTCTCCACACATTAGGAGGCAGCTCTGAAAGAAAAAAAAAACCCACATGAAAGCAGGAGGATCAATAAACAATTTGTCCTCTTCAATCAAAGTCAATTCCACTTTTTGTCATTTATCTAAGTGCACCTGCCGGAGTCGAGCTATCCCCCTCCGCTTTATTTTTTTTTTTGTCTCTGCTGCCGCCGTTGTCAGCTCCAGCAAAAGTTTCGATGCGATCCACACCAGCACTTTTTCAGGAGGCGGAATAAATCTTCCCATTAAGAGGAAGATAATTGATGGCTTTCATCACCGCGTTGAATATAATTATTCCAATCTGCGATGTTTCAATGGCGAGTGCGCTTTACAGTGTTGAGGTTTGAGTGATTTGCCAGACAAAATGAAATGACACGATAATGAGGGGCTTCTTTTGTTGTTTCACCTCGTCGCGCGTCTTTGTGTTTTCTCGTTTGATATGAGCAAAAAAAAGAAGTAGCAGCACCTGGATGAAACCTGAGCCACCGATTCTTGTGTAATGTACCGTTTTTGTACAAATTGTGAATGCAACTTATCGACCCCTAAATTCCTTCTGCGCCGACCCCAAACGTACGCCCGGAGTCATTAACAACTTCCTGCAGCGACACCGAGAACAAAGAGTTGTGCGACGGATGCGATGGCCTCCCACAGAGCCTTGATCTCAGCATCGTCTGGGTTGCTGCACCTTGCAGCGCTGAGACGCGTAATTAAACCCGACCGGTCGGGTTAACTCGGAATAAAGTCGAGAGAGAAAGACACAGTTCTGGACAAACTTGGAGGTAACTCGTGTCTGAAAATAGTCGTCATTACACCTTCAAGAAGAAACACAAAAGATTTTTGTATCGCTTGAATCGCGGCCGTGTCATACAATAGCGTGATTGCTTGGGTTCGAAAGAAAGTAATGACAGAAAATTGCACATTTCAGACAGAGTGGTTTATTACTTAACTGTTTGTCACCTCAAACCCCCAAAACTTGGACAAAAAAAAAAAGATATATATAGCTAAATGTGTTTTTCAAACCTCAAAATTATCTGTGTGTCGAAAGAATTCAAGGTTCAGGCTTTTTTTTTTTGAGCTTTCACTCACATCTCATGGTTTTCATCAGCTTTGCTTCAGTTACATGATAACAGCAGGTCCTAATCCCCTTTACATACCTCTATATTGTTTATTTTATGAGCTAGATGAGATATTGTGAGTAAAATAATCAGTCAGTGCCACGGCTGAGCATTAGGAACCAATCCGGTCCACTTGGGATTCTTTAGAATCACCCTCGGCTCCAACACGTGTGGCTGAATTACCTCAATATGATCATTTGCAACTGGGCGATGCAGAGTAGTTTTGCAGCGTTTGAATGGAGGTGAGCTGGTGTGCTGAGCTGCAATGAATGGAACTACACGGGGGGGGAAAAAAAGCTAATTTTGGCATCAATGCAGTCCATTTAATAGCTGTTGACCTTCGGACTAAGGATGATCAGATTTCCAGTCGAATGGGAGTTTAAAAGTCTGCAGCTCCTTCTGCTGATGATTGAAAGCTCCAGAACATCTACTAAATGAACCTTGTGGTTACTTCCAAAGACGTGGCCTGCAAGTCTGGCTATGTTAAGTGTTTATTTGTGTCCACAGGATCCATCCTTTAGATGCTTTCTATTTATTGTCTATGCAAGTGGCCGTCCAATGCATTCCGGTAACATTGAAAATCATCTTCTTCCCGCTCCTCATTTGCATAAAATTGAGGTTTAGTTGACTTTCTGCAAATCCTGTCGCCACTGCACGCATCTGGACACTCCCGAAAAACAGGCAACTGGCTTCCAATGTTTTCAGAAACACAGTTTTCATCATAAAAGCATCCAAATGAGCGTCCACCATGTTGGAATTTCCAGGAGCGGACAGCCAGCTAATGAAGCAGCCGTCCAATCAGGTGCAGCCAATGTTTGCTTGTAGGAGGATCCAGAGCTGGAAAACACAACGAACCCGCACATCCAAAAAAAAAAAAGAAAAAAAAGTCCCAGCAGACACGAGTCGTATTGTGCCGATAAATCAAACAGCCGTGGTATTGATTTCAGGTTGCGTGGTCGTTCTCACATGTGGATTCCTTCTCCCAGGGTCCCGCCTGACGAATGTCCGCCCGGCGGTTCCCGCGGCTCAGACACTTGTTTGAAAGGATGTTTATAGAAACCCGGAGCTGCCACAGTCGTCCTGCAGTCGCTCAGGCCCTCCAGTGTTTACCCTCCTCGCTCATTTTTTATTCTCGCTGTAAACACAGAACTTCTCCAGTCTGCTGGTGCATGTGCTCGCCGCTCGCGAGTGCGAACCTCCACAGACGTCCGTGGGCGTGCGTGCGTTGCACCCGGTGTCAAAGGAAAAAAAAAAGAAGAAGAAGAAAAAAAAAAAAAAACAGCGAATCTCCGGACGGCCGCCGCTCAGTCCCACTCGCCCTCCTGGCCATTCTGGCTCGGCAGTAAACAGCAGATTTTTGCCAAACTGCTTTGGCTTAAGGCGGCGAACACCTTCTGACCCGCTGCCTCCTGCCCGGCTCAGCTATACGATATCACCTCAACATACCAAATGAATGCATGGTTGTTTTTTTTAGATTCAAGTCCGGGGGGAAATTGTACCAATTTACTGGAGACGCACTCCGCTGTGGTTTCTTTGTCTCTGCGTTTTCTTTCTGTCTCTAATTTCTCAGCCGAATGCCCGTGTAATGAATGTTTATTTTCTCACAGCCGAGAGCAAACACCATGTCTATTTCCTTATGTTTGATCTGTGTCAATCTCGTCCTCTTCTTTCCACAACTCCCGGCCTCTCCGGGGCCCCTGTGGTCCTGCTCGTCCTCCCACTCCAAACAAGCAGTGTCCCGTCCGCCCACGGTCTCCAGACAAGGGTGGACAACCTCCTCTCATGTGTCTCAATGTCAGACCTTTGTGATTGCGAGTCCTCCCATCTGCTCTTGTGTTTCCCTGCAGGAATACACACATTTTGTATCCGCGCAGCAACTAACCCCGACTCCAGAAGGAAGTTGCTCGAACACAGCGTACAAATCTTGCATCCAGATTGCGAGTTGCATTTCTGATTTTTGTTTTATTTTTTGCTTTCCTTGCAGCCTTCAGTCGAGCCCCCATCCCCATGGCGGTGGTGAGGAGGGAGCTGTCGTGCGAGAGCTACCCCATCGAGCTGCGCTGCCCGGGCACCGACGTCATCATGATCGAGAGCGCCAACTACGGCCGCACCGACGACAAGATCTGCGACGCCGACCCGGCGCAGATGGAGAACACGCGGTGTTACCTGCCGGACGCGTACAAGATCATGTCGCAAAGGTAGGAGCGGATGCGTCAGCTATTGTGGCAAATGGTCTGATTTTTGTGCACTCATTCGCTTAAGATTCAAGTTTGCCATTGCAAAATTCATGCATGCAGCTGGAAGGAGGACATTCCTGCTGCTTTTAGTCTTAGAGACGGCTAATGCTAGTTGAACTCTGAGCTAGCAACAGGTGTGAATGCCCCACACCTTCAATTTGATTTTATTTTAAAGTGTTGAGCATTGGTTGAGTGGACCATGTGTACAATCTGAGGTCATAGATGTCATTAGTTTTTGAGTTAAAAGGTCTTAAATAAGGTGGGTTCATGTTGATATATGTGCCGTTTCTTGCACCAATCAATGTTTGAAGTGCCATAACTTGAAAAACAACGTAGCTAGAGTCCTGGAATTTTGCAGGTTTGTTGATATGTATGTATGGATTCTAATTGTTCGACACAGCTTTGGTAGAATAATACAAAGTACCTATATGATGGTGTACATTTGGTTAAAAAAATCCCATGTTTCTGCCTACTGTAGCAAAAACATGAAGATTTTTTTGACCAAATTTGCACCATCATATAACTGGTTTGCATTATTCTATCAAAGCAGGGTTTTACATTTCTAGACTATATCTACATACCTATGAGCATGGAAAATTCCAGGACTCTAGCTCCATTATTTCTCAAGTTAAAGCACTTCAAACATTGACACGGATCGCAAACGACCGACATGACCCCACCGTCTTCAGGTATTTTTTCTCTTAACAAACCAAACACCTGACAGCCAGCCAGAATCGCTGAAAGTGCATGTAAACAGCACAAAAGGGCCGCTATCATCACAATTTTCACATCCAAGCGAGCGATTTTTAAATTACAAATTGACCTTTAAGCACATTATTCGCATGTGTGCTTTGTGCCGCGGCTGCCTCGGATTTAGGATAAAAACGAAACCTTTAAGAAATCAGGCAGCAGTTTGGGCTCCTGGTCAGAACACGACAATATTTGCATGCATGAATATTATTACACACACACAGTGGTGAGATTTATTTATTCTTGCTGTTAACTAATTGACTCGAGTGGCCGTGTTTGTAAAAAAAAAAAACAAATAAATCTTGAAAACATAATCAGCAAATCTTCAGTTAATGAGAGATGCTTTAATTCACACCTGAGGTCTGCCTGAAATTGAGTTAAACTCCTGGAGACGTTTGTGGAGTCGCTCGTCTTATTGAACTTAATCACTTCCCAGAATATGGAAATATTGGAAAACAAAAAAAAGAAAACACGTATTGTAGCACGTCTGCTGCCCCCCATAAACAACTTAAACCTCACCATACCTGGCTGCCGATCCATAAATTAGCCCCCCGACGCAAATCAATGCTCATTAGAAATAATACGAATGCATTATCAGTCATTTGTCAGGGTAAAAATGTGCCTGATGAGCTGCGCTGCCAGACGCTGAGCCTTGTTTTCAGAGTTATGACCCTGTTGTGCAGGAACCGGGACGTGGAGGCCTATTTGTCAGGCCAGACGGAGTGCAGTCTTACCGTGCTCCGGCTTTTGCGGCGTAATTGATTGCCGACATTAAGGCAATATATACACAAGTTTTGGGGTTTTTTTTCTTTCTTTTTTAGTCTGAATTCTGAAAAGCTGGAGGCGGCCGGCGATGCGTACAGTCCGCCTTTGCTCTTTTGTTGACGTATTGCAGCACTTAGAGCAGAATGAAACCTCCTCGGTGGGATCGTTGTGAGCATGGGCACTCTTCCCTTTGAGGTCAAAACACCCTTGAGCGCTCAGAAGGGATGGACTTTATCTAAATTGCTACTCCACATTGACTTTGTCTACCTCGCTTTAATTCCGAAACGCATGTCCACCTCTTTTTTTTTTTTTATTTCCCAAAGCTTTAGCTCCACATTGGACATGCCCCCTTTGAGAATACTAATGGGCTTTTCTTTTTTTATCAAACAATTGCTCTTTGCTTTTTTAGTTCGGCACCGCAGAGTTCAGATAATCAGCTGTGTGAAAAGCAGCTGATGGTGAAAAAAAAAAGAGGTGGTTTGAAACATGTTGTCGGATAATTGATGCACCCTGTAGCTCCCTTGTTCTGCCGGCCGCCCACTCAGACTGAAAAGTCCCCGCAGGAATGAATCAACGGGTCCTGCCACTGTCAAGAACACAAAACTAACATAAAGTAGCGGGGAGAGGCGCGTCTTTTTAGCATCTACCGGGGAGGGAAGGGGGGAGGCGTTTCAATGATGCTTGAAGGTAAACACAAACCCCCGATTGTCTCGCCGGAGAGGAAGTTGCTAAGTGGATGGAAAATCGTAGGTGGCGTCGTCGCTCGAAGAACGGGGCGACGCCAAAGGCAGGGATCAGGGGTGAGAGGGTTCGGCGATATTTGCGACCGGCGTAGCGACACATTAGCATGCGGAGGTTAGCACAACAAATGAAACGCCACCCCCGACCATTTCATTGTGGAGCTGTCAGAGCCGTTGCTAGGCACCTGCGGCTAAGCTCATTAGGGTTAAAAAGAAAACGAGAACGAGCAGAAACAAGCAATTTGAACAGAGAAAGTCCTCTTGTGATAAGGTGCAGGCTCAAACCAGGGGCGCAGAGATCCCGCTCGATATGTTTCAGACGGATAGATAACGTGATAATGAAATGCAAAGCGGCGCTGATGTGCGTCTGAGTTCATTCACAGTGTTGTTTCCTCTTCTTTTTTTTTTAAAACTGCAATTAACTCGATTAAGAGGAGATTTGTGGTCTTTAAGCCAACATTTGTACTGGAACGATCATCAACAGACGATTATTTTTTCCCCGACTTGACACCAGCCGTGACGCCGGCCCGCTCTCTCGTTAATAATTTAGCGTCCTCGTCTCACACTTTCCCGCCGCCGCTCTCCCGTTTTGCGTGATAGCATCAGTCACCGCGAGCCGTAATGAATGCGGTGTCCGCGAGTTGTCTGATTGCAGGGATAATGTCTGGACCGATCGCACAAACAAAAAGGCGAGACAGAAAATGATCATTTTTTTTAATACACAAATATGTATCCAAACAAATGCGCTCGATAAGGATGAATTAAATTAGTCCCTTAAAGAGCTGCGAGCAAGATCTTCCTACAGAACATCGCACTTTACACCTAAAAACAAGCCTCCCTTCACTTATCTCCCATGCCAATACCTGATAGCATCAGCGCACTGGATTATCGGTCGCTCTCTAACAAGCTGATGTCTATCTGGCTCGGGCGACGGTTCGAGAACACCGAAGCCACGTTCTCCGTCTAAAGTGGTCGCAGACTGCATTACACGCGTTTAGACGGCGCTTGATTTGATTGGCAGTCGCTCGGGAGCGGCGGGGATCGACACATCCACAGCGGGGTGGTGGCAGAGCAGCCGCCCAGAGAGCTCTGACTCACCGGGAGCCGGATCGAGTTCGTCGCACCTATAAGTGACCAACCGCCGGCAGGAAGTCCCGGTTCCATGGTAGATGTTAATTACCAGCATGAGCAGGAAGCGTGTTCACGTTGGAAGAGTGGTAAAAAGTGAACCTGCAAGTGTTAACATTACAGAAAACCCTTTTGCTTCTTCTTTGTTTAACTGGAGTTGTTGTTGTGTTTAAGCTGCTTAAACTGAAAATCATAAAAGTTCAGACTGCAAATTTTAATATATGAATATTTACCAAAAAAAAAAAAAAAAAAAAAATTATAAACATTAGAAATTTGTTAATTTTGTTAAAATAAAAATCTAGCATCATGGGTGCCAGAAAAAAATACTTAAAAATACTGTAACATTCAAAACTATATATGTATATTGAAATAAATATTATTATATCAACATTATTTGTAATCTAAAAAAGGAGGAAATTAAAAAAAAAAAAAGATAAATAAATTTCTTAAATTATTTTGCATTTTTCAGTCATTATTATACATAATTTTAAAAAATAATAATAAAGTTGAATATTTGTAAAATAATGCAATTGTTTTTTCTGATTTCATTGCACAAATAATCATTGTAGTTTTATGGCCAAATGTTGTAAAATAATTAATCACCATTTTAAAAATACAGATTTTTGATGTGGACATCAACTAAATTTTTGGCGTTTTTTTTTTTTTTTTTTTTTTAAGTTAACATGTAATTTTTGTATATTTATTTATGTATTTATTTATTTTACCTGTGATGTTACTTAATATTATTTATATTTTATCAAAATGGGAAAATTTAGTAAAATAGCAGCTGAAAAATTAGGAACTAAATCCTTAATATACATAGTCTTTCTTTCAAATAATTGTAAATATCTGTAAAAAAAAAAAAAAATGTAAATGTAAATTAAGTAAAAAAATAAAATAAATAAAATTTGTAAAAATACAGTATTGCCTGTTTTTTGTAGTTAACATATACATTATTTGTATTAATTTTGCAAATTTTTATCTGTAAGTTAACAAAACTGTCAAATCTGTAATTTAACAGTAATTTATTATTATTATTTTAAATACAACAAAAACATCTTTTACAGTGCATTATGGGATTTGAACACAGCAGAGCAATTAAAAGAAAAAAAAACAACCCACAGGTGTTGAAACTAATCTGACTCCAATTTCGGTGTTAATTCAACAAAGGAAACCTGCTTTAATAACAACTGTAATAATCTGAGCAGCACCTTCATCTGATTTACAGCTAATTACCGTGGCTGCCTCTGAATGCTGCTCTCCTCTGGTGGGACTCCTTTTCCTTCTCGCCTGTGCACCACCTGCCTCTCCTGCTGGCACCAGTTAAGTCGTGGCGACCGGCGAGGCCGCTAGTTAGCATTCGCTGGGCGTCTGAAGACGAGCCACGCCGCTGCACGGCTCGCTCTGCTCGCCGGGCCCGCATCCACCGCCGGCGGACGCGCTGCCGTGTCGGCGTCGATGCACATCCAGACATCTCAATCCTGCTGCTCCGCTAAGGAACGCCCCATTGATATTCAGCTATCAAGCCCAAACCCTACCTGCTCCAGTTTAGCCCACTTAAAGGGCTACTTTGGTGAG